GGGCCCCCCCCCCCCTCCCAGCACCCAGAGAGGCCCTGGCGGTGGCTGCTGGTCCCCCCACTCCCCCCTCCTCCGGCGGGTGCAGCCTGAGATGTACCCGCGCAGCTGCACGGCTATTAAAGGACGGTGTCCTGGGCAGGGCACGGCGTGGGCTCATCACTGGGGGAGCAGTGGCCAGGGGCAGGTGCTGGGCCACAGCCTGGTGGGGAAGGGACCCTGGTCCTCTCCTGTCACCCTGCAACGTCCCCATGCCGGCACCCAGGCCAGCAGCACTCCCTGGGATCATAGAATCATAGAATGTTTTGTGTTGGAAGGGACCCCTAGAGGTCATCTAGTCCAAACCCCCCGCAGTAAGCAGGGACGAGACTTGCTTTGTTTGGGCTCATCTCTTCCAGCTCCCCCGGCTGCTCCCTGGTGCCCCACCAGCTCCGCTGAGACCCCCCAGCCCCATGCACAGGCCACCCCTCTCCCCCCCATGCACCGCAGCCCTCGCTGGGCTCCAACAACGGATGCTCCAGGCTTGGGGCTTGCTGTGGAGATGGCTGGCTGCTGGCTCCCCCCTCCTACTCCTCCTCTGGTTTTGGAAAAGCCTTCAGCCCTTGCTCACCCAGGCACCAGCTCTCCCACCAGGTGCCCCATCACAGGCGCTGGAGCTGTGGGAAATGGGGCAGCCCTGTTGCAAGGCTTCATGCGAGCAATGTTTCAGGAGAGCATGAGATGAATTCATCTTTCAGGCCAAACATCTCATGCTTCCTCACTTTTCCACATCACAGCCCCCACACTGCAGCTGGTTGAGCGCAAGCAGCTGGGAATGCACCAGCTCATCCCCAGAGCAGGGCTGGAGGGGAGAATTGGTGGGAATTCACACCAAACTGGGTCTTCTGCCTGGCTGTGCTGCAGGAGATGCCAAGGCTCAGCCCCCATGGGGTGCTCTTGGTTGTAACAGCACCTCATCCGTGTCCCCAGGGTGTCCAGAGGAATTGCAGCATCCATGGTTTCAAACCTGGGGGTGTTTTGCAGCACCCCCCTGTCCCTGCACAGCGAGCCTGGGGGGTACGGAAATGCTGTGAACCCGGAGTGAAGCCCAGGTGCCCAGCCAGGCACCAGGGCTGGAAGGAAACCGCACCAAAAAATGCGTGGTCTCTTGTTAGAGCTCAGTCTTCCCGGAAAAACATGGCATGTCCTTGGGGACAGAAAAAGGCGGCCCCATGCAGTTGGCTCTTGCAGGACTGGGGGAGCTCAGTGGCCGGCAGCACAAGTGATGGGGAGCCGTGGCAGGGAGGCGGGATTGGGTTTGGGCTCCAAATGGGCAGGACAGCCAGATTGCTCTGGGCATCGCATCCCCTCCTTCAGCCGATTCGGGGACACTGAGCTGAACTGCTCGCTTCTGCCCTTGGGCAAAGAGGGCGAGGGCAGCTGGTGAATGATGGGAACCCTTATTTCTGGCATGGTCATTAGCACTTGGGCTGCCACAACACCCAGCAGCTCCTTCACAGAGAATTTAAGACTCAATATGAAAATTCTTCCCAAAATTAGGGTTAGATCAGAGGTGGCTGAGCTGGAAGATGCACATTCACTTCCTTAGCAGGCACAGAAGCTCAGTCTTTGTCTTTCCACGCAACCCTCCATCCCCACGGCATCCTGCTAACTGGGGCTAGGACAGCCCCCTGCACAACCACCGGAGCAGTGGCACGGCACACAGAGCCTTTTCCACCCATTTTTTCCCTTCCAAGCTTAACTCAGGGGAGCAGCCACAGCCTGGCACGGTGCCGGGGCTCACTGACCGCTTGTCCTCACCCTGCGCACCTCGGGACGGGCTCCTGGCAGGCACAGCGCTGGGAGGCGACTCTGCTCTTGGAGGTGATCGGAGACCACGCGTGGTGAGATCCCAGGATGCCACCACGGCCCAACCAGCCCCACCGCTGGAGGCAAACGGTTTCGGCTACAATCTCACCCCTCCGAGCTTGCTGCCCGAGCGGGAGCCGCGCCGAGACGGTGTCCTGGGATCTTGCCGTGCATGCTATCCCCAGAGGGAACTCACACACTCGGCAGCGATCCTGGCAGAGGAAGAAAGGTGTGTAGGGAGAGGTAATAACTGTGACCTGACCAACTGGTATAGCTGGAAAATGCAAGAGAGGTTTCATGGAAACAAAGCCTTCTTCAGACCAGAAGCAGAAAATGGCAAGCTGAGTTCGCGTCGAGAACAGTTGCTCTGAGCTTAGTGCAATTATGCTGATTTGGTAATTAAAACAAAAAAAGGGGGGGGTGATGTTTGTGGGGTGGGGAGGGATGGCAGTGAGATGAAAGGTAATATGGGTGCTGGGTGCTGTGGGACCAGGCTCTGGTCGATGCGCAGCAGCCAGATCATCGTCAGATCCTGTGCACCAAGGCACCTGAAACTGCTGCGGAGCAAAACCTCAGGGCTCGCCAGCATGGCTCTGCTCCCGGGGAGAGCCCCCTGGGGTGCACTCAGCCAGGTCCCAGAGCCCACGTGCACTCATCGTGGGCTGTAGATGGCTTTGCATGGCTGCCTTGTGTTTTAGATTGAGGGGGGAAGAGAAAATCCCAACCCCAAACCTCTTCGTTCTGCAAGTTCCCCTGTTTTTTCCAAGTATGATGCTGCCCAGTCCCCATGTCCTGCTTTCATCCTTCTCTGGTGGAAAACCACCTTGATCCTCATGGGAAAACAACACTTTATGAACTTCAGTTTTATTAGAAAGAGGGAAGAAACCCATTTCTTTACAGGGATTGAATATTGAGGGAGAAACGCAGCTGCCCAGTCTGAGCACAAGGCTCTACTGGTTGGATCAGGGGACTGGGAGCCAAGTCTTCCCCTCCACCCCTGCTCTGGAGCTGCTTGTGTGGCTCTGGGCCAGCTGGGAGCCCAGCTCCCCCCTTGGTAAAAGGCGCAGGTTGAGCCCTTCATGCCAGGCTTCCCTTGCCCCAGGCCAGCTCTGCAGTCCCACTGCTGCTTCCCTCCCACGCGACAATAATCTCAATTTCTTCTCTCTGAATTAGAAGGGAACCCCATGGTAACCTCTTTGTACTGAAAATTCAACCCAAATGAATTGCAAGGCTCCTCTTGGGGAGAGAAGCTGATGCTGGAGCAGTCACTAATGAAATTGTATTTACAGAATCCCAGAATCCCAGACTGGCAGGGGCTGGAAGGGCCCTCGGGAGCTCACCCAGTGCCACCCCCCTGCCCAAGCAGGCTCACCCAGAGCAGGGGGCACAGGACAGCGTCCAGGCAGGGGTTGAAGATCTCCAGAGAAGGAGACTCCACAGCCCCCCTGGGCAGCCTGGGCCAGGGCTCAGGCACCCTCCAAGTCAAGAAGTTCCTCACCTTCAACTGGAACCTCTTGTGCTTCAGTTTGTGCCCATGGCCCCTTGTCCTGGCGCTGGGCACCACTGGGAAGAGTCTGGGTCCGTCCCGGTGACACCCACCCTTGAGATATTTGTAGGTGTTGATGAGATCCCGTCTCAGCCTTCTCTTCTCCAGGCTGAACAAGCCCAGCTCCCTCAGCCTTTCCTCGTAGGGGAGATGCTCCAGTCCCCCCATCATCTTTGTTGCTCTCCTCTGGACTCTCTCTACAAGTTCCTCATCTTTCTTGAACCGGGGAGCAGAAGAACTGCATACATCAGTCCTGTCGCCTTGAACTGAGCAGAGCCCAGTCCCTGCTGTCTTCCAGGTTGCTCCATTGCAGCCAAGAGCCCTTAAAGCAAAGCAAAGCAAAGCATTGGAAGCTTGAAATTGCAAGTTAATTTGGACAGTAACAAAAAATATTAATCAACCCGATGATTTTCTACTGGAAAGGTTTTGCAGAATTGCAACGAGCACAGGGCTTGGCCTGATGTGGCATTCAAAAATATCCCTCCTCGTTGGTTGTAAGATGGTCCCTCCCTCACCTAGGATGCTCTGTGACCTCCTTGCTATTCGGTCAGGCCTGGAGACATCTGAACGGTGCCCAAATATTTCCCTGAGCGTATTTGCAGCTCAGCTGGTGGCTGGACCTGCAAAGGGAGGAAGGGGAGGAGGATTAGCGGCGACAGGCAATCCTGGGTGGGAAGGGGTAAAGTTTATCCCATCACCTCTGGGGACCACTGTGGCTCCCTGCCGTGCTCGGGGGCTAACGCCAGGCTGCAGTCCCTGGTGGCAAAGATTAAACATTCCCCCCGCCCCCCTGGCCCCTGTGGTCTCT